CCCCCCATCCACCGGATTCCCTATTCATGACATCGAATTTAACGGTCTCAGGAATATTTTAACGTTTAAAATTGTGATTTGTGGGGAAACATTATACCAATTCGTAGACATGCTGTTTAAGTTGTACAATATTTCATTGAAAAACAGTATTCGTCTTAAGTTATAGAGTTATTTCGATAAGTATCACGGATGTGGCGAATAACGACAGGTTTTTGCATTGGCATTTCCAGTCCATTTCTCTCGAATATGTATGATTTTATAGGTCCAGTAATGGCTATTGATTACTTTTCCAATGTTATAACAGAAAGAAACAGGAAGGCTAAACTGGAAGCTCCCAAGCGAGTGAGGCGAAATAATCATCAGAAAACGGATTACTGTAAGAGTAGAACACAATTGACTGCATAAGGTGAAAAATGACTAACGCCTCACGAGAATATGAAAGGCATGCACAGCTCGTGTTAAAAAAAATATGTGCCTGCAGCTGAATCTATCATTAATGTAGAACATTTTCTCTCGAGTGAAAAGTCAAATCACATCTTACCGCCACCGTGCACTTTCCTCTACATTTTTTGCCTAACCATGAAATGTACTACATGTCTTACCGTTCCAATGTCTTATCTCCCTTCTCTGAGTAAACAGGCTGTTGTTCCACGCCATCCATACTCTCTTCAGCAACAGGAGAGAGACTGTTTTGGGCTATCCTCGCACCCAATAACATTTGATCAACTGACTCGATCTGAGATGGATCAAACTTGAAACGTCTGGATTCTGAAAGAGGTGCAAATTGATATAACGCCATGGAGTTTAAGGGTAAAAGCATACACTGCCTAACATTACTTATGGACACTTCTCGGAAGCTGACACTATTTTGAGGTCCACTTCTTCATCCATATTATTAGCATAGGTAATAGCATGGTTTATCGTACAACTTAGTAAACAAGCACTGGAGTCTTTTCAGAAGACCACATGCAAATACCCATTGTACTTCATGCTTTCCCCTAAGCCATATTATGACCTATATCTCATCGACTCTCTGCAATAGCATATAGCATACAATACCTTCCAGCGGGCTTGATAGTTGTCTTGTCACACTATACCTCTCGTAGCTGAGAGAATATCCACAACGGTTAGCAGGCAATGAATTGGAACGACCATATGCCAGGCGACCAACACTCGGACATATTGTAATACTATTGGTGGTTGATGTGGGAGAAGCCAAGAAACGATTGACAGCTGGGTTACCTATGGTTTAGAACAAGGAAAAGGGAAACAAATATTTGTTTCATTATGTAACATAGCGAGAAAGGGATAGTATTTAGTTACAAGAAACGAGACAATCAACATGCCGGCAGATATTGCCAATGTACTGTAATCGTTCACTTTCCAACAACTCGCTCAACCTCTGGTTTGAAAATTCGACGTGAATAAAAAAATACAAGAAAAACATGTCAGTAAACAACCTGTCATTAAATTTTAAAATGTAAACAACTTTACATTAACACGCGCTACAATCGAAACAATGTTGCAATAATACTTGTACTAGTCTCGACAACGAAATTGAGGAACCACAGAACAAAACGCAACCTATCAGTTTAAACAGTGCAGAACTAGACTAATCTGCAGTGAAATTGACGAGGAAATATCAATTCCAAGCCGGGTTCATACTCATGTCATGAGAATTTGTACATTACTCAATTTAAAAATGGCTATAAAATCTTTTTTGAGTTATATTATAAAAGAAATGGTATTTCTATACAGTTAAAAAAACACTTGTAGAAGCTTGGGAGAACAAGAATATTGGAAAAACTCGCCCTCTTTTTCCCACCAATTATATGCCTCCCTTCCAAGCTCTCGCGCGTGTTTCTATAACTCTATAGAAACTCCGTCACGAATATGATATGTCACTGTATTATTTACTTAAAAGATTCATGGTTTCTGATTGGCTGACAGCCAACTGAAAAATCGTCATAACAACTGAATATCTGACCAAATATGGAGTTTGGGCATAATATCCAACGGAGCGACGTCATAATGTTGACATGAAACATCACATGCAACGTTATGACGTCATAATACTGACATGAAAAGAGTCATGTTCAATGTTATGACGTCATGTTGCGAAAATTGTAGAAAGAAGAAATGTCAACAAAAACAGCCAGGAAAGCTTTTGAAACATCTTTAACTTGATAATTCTTCATATCATGCTCAATCTCATTCAATAACTGTTATAATATACATGATCAACAATGTTCTGAAGATAATCAACAATGTTCTTACCTTTGCCAGTTTTCCTGGCGTGCTCAGTGTTTGGGGACGTCATTGATGTGGACGACTTATCGCTCATGTTGCCCTGTCTAGTGAGTGTCGCCCGCGCCGGATGTGGACTGGCTACTAATGACGTCTTTTCCACGAATAACTGCGTGAACCTCCGTAGGAAAAAATGCCCGGATAAAGGCGTTCGTTTCGGCAAGGCGTTATGCAACAGCCTAAATGTGTGTATTATAAGAAGTCTGTCGGATGGGAACTTGTCGAATTGGGTTACCAAACTTTCATACATGACCAACAAGCTGTTTGGGTGGATGGTCTCAAGCATGACTGTCACGTGGAGAGAAACTGAGTTCGAGAGGTCTTCTATAGCGCCTACTAGATAGGCGAAACTGAGAGCCAGTGAAGAGCGGGCTAGATCGTTAAAGAGGATTTCATTTTGGATGTACCTTGCAATGACCACAACCTACAAAAACAAATATTCGTTATGTCTGACTTCCATTAGGCCGCGACAGTTTGGCTTGCTTAAGGTTACTTATTCGCATGAAGTACACAAAGGATAAGCTAAATTCTAGCCTAGACCTAACAAAACCCCAGGTCAAGATGGTGGCGAGAGTTTAGCCAGCGAGAGTTTACATTACAGTTAATGGCATTCGTGCGCACCTGTCAAACAAGAAAAAGTTCTCATCAACTCTCGTCTAAATTACACCAGCTTAAAGTGGATCAGAATGCATTAGAGTTGATAAGAGTTGGTGTTTCGAGTCAAGCGAGAGTTGAAACTCTTTTTCGCTTGTATTCTAAAAGCTCACTCACACTCAATTGGTGGGGGTTCAATCTGAGCTTCCCTTGAGTGTCAATGTTGTTTCTGAATAGCTAGAGGGTTAGTGCCATACCATACTTACTATGTGACTACTCACCCTCCTGCTATTAAAAAAAAAGCATTGACACTCAAGGGAAGCTCGGATTCAACCTCCACTCATTGAGTGTGCTTTTAGAATACAAGCGTTTGAGTCTCATGCTCATTTGAGTTGGGCTTACATTCTAGGCTATTTTAATTTGGTGAACATGACTTAATCACGACAGCCACGACCGACTAGAAATCAGGAAGTGCAAATAGAAGAAAACCACGTGTAATTGAAAACACAGCTTACTGAAGTCTACTATGACGGAGTAGATAGAGAAAAACGACCTATGCTGGCAAAATCGCCAAAAACAAAGCAAGCGAGTGATATAAAGAATAACGTGTACTTCACATGACATAGTTATTGAAGACACTGCCATAAATGGACACGATCATGTAAAGAAAAAACATGTGGCAGATCCAAGCTATTCTATACATTATGCACCACTCGGATGCACCGGAACCATTTCGTAACACCTGTGGGGAACTGAAAAGAGTGTTCTTTTTTCTTATAATTAGGCTTAGAAACTACCACTGCAATACACCTGATTAAAATTGCAGAGCCAGCAAAAGGGATGGCTTGAACACTAATTTCTATAATTTCTATACACGAAATTTCTATAATCAAGGTGTTCGTGAAGAATCACAATAAAAAAATATAATACAAGATATGGAATATAAAATCAAATACCTTCGAAACGCCATCAAATCGTATTCTCCAGTCTTTATTTGTAAAAGTGGATTCGACTTCATTAACCAAAGACTCAGCACCACAAGGTAGACTGATACAGTGAAGTAGTAACGGAACACAAACCTCGCATAACTCAGAACGATCACATTTTAGTAATCTCCAAAGACTACAGATAAAAGAAATATTTCAAAAACAGCTGAAACAACGAAGACAACAAAAACGTTTTTAAGGTGACTCAATACAGTTTTTACAAAAATGGAAAATTCACGATTTATAGATGCGTATTTTTGGACAATTATTACTTGTTGATAAACAAAAAGTACCTTACTTATATAAAACAACATCTAAAGAGTTTGAATTTTTGCACAAAAGTTACGCTACTGCCGTTACTATGGCAATAATGACGTTTCAAGATGGCGGATATTTTGGATTTAAAGTAATTTAACTCGTAAATGACATCGGTGACCCCAAAATTTCATTTTAAAAAATGATTTCTCTTAGTATAATCAATTAGTTTGACAATTAGTTTGGTGATTATTCATAATAATTTTTCTTCGGCTCTACAGAATTTTTTTTAAATTGTCAAAGTAATTGATTATACTAAGAGAAATAATTTTTTTAAATAAAATTTGGGGGTCACCGATGTCGTTTACGAGTTAAATTACTTTAAAGCCAACATATCCGCCATCTTGAAACATCATTGTTGCCCAACAGCAGTTGCGTAACTTTTGTGCGTAAACTCTTTAGATGTTGTTTTATATAGAAGTAAGGTACTTTTTGTTTGTCAACAAGTATCAATTGTCCAAAAATATGCATCTAAATCGTGAATTTTCCATTTTTTTTAAAAACTGTATTGAGCCGCCTTAAATAAAGAACGAGCAAAAATAATCGAAGCGTGATCATTGTGTCAGAAGCAATATGTCTAACATGATTGGTTTAAGATCTCAAAGTTTAGACTGGATGAAGTTACTTTTTGAATTCAGAGAATTGATTTTGAAGCCAGAATACTTATGACGAAAGATTTTAAAATCTATCACATAATTATCTTAAAATTTGTTACGTGTTTAAATTAGTTATACTATCAAGCAAATATCTTCTCTTCTATCCAACTTCAAAAATATAGCTTCCAATAAGTTTTAGCTTCTAATGAGTTTAATAACATTTTAAACACGAGGTATATATTGACACTTCAGCAGCCATATTGGTGTGACCTATGTAATTATTCAATAGCAAACTTCAGAAGGAAGAAAGGCCACTAATAACCAATTTCTGCATGTTTAGACAATATTTTTATTCCTAACACCAGAAACTTTAACAATCTCTTCTAACATGTCAACAACACCACTGTGGATTTGCGGTCGTCAAATCAACATGAACGGCATTTGATTCATTTATGCATTCCTAGTTTTGACATCAGTGGCTGTCACTGAGCACGTCCTTAGCCTGCATGCGTTGCCGTCCCTTGAAGCATCCGTTACGAAACACTGCACTGTTTCGGCTGCAATGATTCCTACATTTTTCCTAGGCCTTTCAAAAGTATGAAAAGCCGTGCGTTTATACAAAATTTCCAAATCTAACGCCAGGTATGCACTTACTTTGGAATAAGAAAAACCTCTTGTAAATAAGGTAATATATCTCCGTCTTCCTCTGCTGCAATTCTCAGGTAATCTCCACGTAAACACATCACATACAAACATTTCACCAAGTGTAAAACAACCACTAAGTCTTCTTGTTTAGGAAGCTCCTGAAAAAAGATGTAGTTCAAAGACAAATTGTTACCAAGAGTTCGACTCAAGTACTGAAGGGTTTTGTGAATAGAAATTTCTGGTGTACATTTTATACACTTATTTAAATCTAACCAGGTAGACCGGGAGCCCAGGGGTATGAGCTTAGCTGGAAAGGTTACCAATTTTTATGCATACTGCATTGGTCTATGTACCTAGTGATCTAAGAAAATGGACGTCTGCCGGACACACACTGGTGGATGTGGTCAGGGGGGAGTGAGAAAC